TTGGTTCCTGTTGGTTCCTGTTGGTTCATGTTGGTTCCTACTGGTTCCTGCTGGTTCCTGTTGGTTCCTGTTGGTTCATGTTGGTTCCTACTGGTTCCTGCTGGTTCCCGTTGGATCCTGCTGGTTCCCGTTGGTTCCTCTTGGTTCCTACTGGTTCCTGCTGGTTCTTGCTGGTTTCTGTTGGTTCCTGCTGGTTCCTGTTGGTTCCTACTGGTTCCTGTTGGTTCTTGCTGGTTCCTGTTGGTTCCTGTTGGTTCCTGCTGGTTCCTGTTGGTTCCTGTTGGTTCCTACTGGTTCCTGCTGGTTCTTGCTGGTTTCTGTTGGTTCCTGCTGGTTCCTGTTGGTTCCTGCTGGTTCCTGCTGGTTTCTGTTGGTTCATGTTGGTTCATGTTGGTTCCTGTTGGTTCTNGTTGGTTCCTGCTGGTTCATGTTGGTTCATGTTGGTTCATGTTGGTTCCTACTGGTTCCTGCTGGTTCCCGTTGGATCCTGCTGGTTCCCGTTGGTTCCTCTTGGTTCCTACTGGTTCCTGCTGGTTCTTGCTGGTTTCTGTTGGTTCCTGCTGGTTCCTGTTGGTTCCTGCTGGTTCCTGCTGGTTTCTGTTGGTTCCTGCTGGTTCCTGTTGGTTCCTGTTGGTTCCTACTGGTTCCTGTTGGTTCCTACTGGTTCTTGTTGGTTCTTGCTGGCTCCTCATCTCTTCGTCTCTTGGCTGAATTTGAATGAATCGTTAGTATTTTCTCTCTTTGCATCCAGGATCGACTGTCAGCATCTTTTAACCAAATGGGCTCTGATTAATGTCTGTTTTTACATGAACGCATCAGATTAAAGAGGACCGACGTGGACAGGGTGGACCGACGTGGACAGGGTGGACCGACGTGGACAGGGTGGACAGACGTGGACAGGGTGGACAGACGTGGGATGATTTAAAAAGGACAGATCGTTTCGACGCTTCATCCTTCAGGACCAAAACTCTCCTTGTTCAGGTTTGTATGTTTTTGGATTCTATTATTATAAATTTTGTTTTTTGTCATACATGTTTAAAAGGTTTATTCAACAGTAATTATACGAAATGATGTTAATTTTCATATGAAAATAAAAGTTTATTTTTTTTACACAGAATTACAGACATTTTTAACTCAAAGCAAAACTTTTAAGCTTTATTTCCAGAGACATTTATAATTTTTTAACTACATCTTCTAATAAATCTATTTTGTAGCATCTGATTAATAAATGGTTATAATGTAAATTGTTTATATTTCATCTTTTTGTGTATTTATTGAGCTGTTTGCAGCATTTGTTGGATTTTGTTATTTGATGCAACAAATGTATTCAGAAACAAATGATAAAAAGTTCAAGTTAATCCAAAAACAGAAAAAGGTTTCAGGACTTCAGCAGCGAAACATTTAGTTTTATATTTTTTAGTTTATTTGACTCTAATCTGATTCCAGCAGATTTTCTACAAACTGCAGATTTTCATACGGATAATTTTCTTCAGGTTTTTGTTTTCCTGTTTTTTACTGCCAATATTTGTCATAATTTCCATCTGCAGCTCTCAGTCATGATGAACGTTGGACTCTCCCTCCTGATGATCGCAGGTCTGTTATTTTATGCGTCATACTTTCTATTAATGTTAACAGACATTAAACTTTCTGCAGATGAATTAAAAACAGATCAGTTTATGTTATATCAAATAAGCTGGGAAATTATTTTCTGATACAATATCTGGTTCATTCGTTAAGCCATTTATTTATTTATTTCTATGATTATTGTCACTTCTTGTCCTCCTTATGTTTAGATCTGACAGTTTTGGACAAAAAAAGAACAAGAAACAAAGAAACAGCAGAAAAATGGTTCTGTTTAGTTTTCCTGCTGCAAAACTAAAATATGCAGATTATTTCAGGTTCTGTCTCATCTGTTAATCTCCATCAGAACCTGATTTCAGTGTTTGTGGGACCCATACGGGTTCTGATCAGGCTGGTCGGACTCCATCAGCTGCATCGCCTCCTTTCTGTGCCTCTAATTTAACCTGAATTTTATGAAAAGTTTTGGAAAAGTTGAAAAACTTTCCATAGTTTCAGGAACTGCTGATCATTCATGAAACCAGAGTGAAGTCGCCCCACCTTCTTCAAATCAGACAGAATTGGTGTCAAACGTTTGTGCAGCAAAAATGTTCGTTTG